GAGGAAGCAATTGTGCTTGCATAGACAAACAAAGGGCATGGACACTCTAGAAAGTATAGTATACTCACAGACATATAATTGTATGTGCCGACAAAGGTATTAGCGGCTCCGGATGTGTTTGCTAGTACTGCACTCACACCAAAATCGGTTATCTTAACATCACCTCTGTGATTTGTAAGCAAATTTGAAGGCTTCAAGTCCCGGTGAATGATATGTTTTTCATTATGAAGATACCACAATCCCTTGAGCACCTGCTTGATGTGGGAAAAAATGTTAAGGGAAGCACGCGTTTGGAATGATTGTTTTCATGGAATAAATTATTCACATGACGAAAAACACTTCGTCCCCAAAAATGAGTCATGTATTTGACAAGAAAGCGGAAAATGTGTGTAACAATGAAAAAGCATGTGTATGCTTGCTTAGGAAAGGAAATTCGTGCTTTTTCAAAGAAGTATTTTTAGTAAGTGCTTTTTCTAACCGATGTGTACATCTTGACCTGTAAGATCCCAATGGAGTTGGGATTACACTGGGCTGTTGTTGATGTTCTTACATAAATGAGACACAGCACGCATATGATAAAATACTTGATATATATTACTCTGGGCATGTATATTTTTGTAACATATTTTTCTTCAAAACTAGAAAAATAGTGATACAAATAGCATGTTTTCTTTCCTCCTTCCTTTTCTACATCATGTATACCAAGTCCCTCGTATGTGTGCTTCGTGTGTTTGTGTTATTACTTTGTTTGTGCTTCTATCTTTACTTTGTTTCTGCTTTTGCATTTGAGTTGGAGGGTCTCTTGGAAATAACATCTCTAGTTCCTAGTAGGGGTAAGGTGTGCATACACACACTCTCCCCTAACCTTACTCTTGTGGGATTTTACTGGGTTGGTTGTTGTATACCAAGTCCCTCAAATGGATGGATTGGTCATTAACAATTGTAATTAGCTCCCATATTTATGCACGGGATTCGAGAAGTTAAGAGAGTCATTCATATATATATTCATGCACTCTGAGATAGCTCCATAGTTACATAGGCTAATTAGCTAATACCTTCTGATGTTCAAATAGACATGAAGTAACCATACGTGAGTGCAGTCAAAAGTTACAAATTTACGGCCTACCTGCTTGCAGATAGCAGCAAGATACAGTTCAGGGATACTTTTGACTAATTTCAAGAAATCTGCAAGAGATCCACCATCCATGTACTCGAGGATAATGGAGATAGCGCCATTCTCAAAAAAGGATTGGTGGCATACAACAACATAAGGGCACTGTGAAGACTGATTAATTCTCAGTTCCTTTACAATAAGCCTGCGAACAGACTCGTCTATGTTCATTTGAATGACCTGAGTACATATATTCACATCGAAATCGCAAGTCATTAGATGGTGGAAAGAAGAATGACAACAAAAAAAGGCGAGTAAGGGAAGAATTCACAAGACTGTTTCCGTTAGACCCTAGATGCATTGCTACATTTACTACGCAAAACTTCACACAAAGTAAGAGTGTAAGGGAAATTTAAGGTTCCATTTTGACTTGGTAAACATATGCCCAAAACTAAAACATTGTCAACAATGACACTTTTAGCTCCATTTGCATTGGACGGAAGCTATGGAAGTACCTTGAGAGCAAAAAATTGACCAGTCCACTTGTGTTGAACGAGCCGCACAACCCCACCATTTCCCTTTCCAATAACTTTGATAGACTCAAAGTCCGCTAAGCTTAGCTGATTATCTTCTGCCGGGTGTATAACTGAAGACTATACAATACAACCAAGACAAATGATTGAGTAACTTCTACTACAGTTACCAGCATACCAACAAAGTATATCCCACTACGGAGGTGGGAAATTGGGGTTTTCTACCAGTAGTCTAACCAGAAGAACATAATTAGTAGCATTGGTAAAAAAATATGGCAAGCATATGCAAAGCATATAATGGTGGTGAAGAATGTTCATTGATTATTTTCTAGCTATGTGATCTCACTTTATAATTCTACTAGTATAACAGGGAAAGCGAACGCGCTTTGGTAGTTCTACAAAAAATGGATATTGAGATTGAACAAACCAAGTAAAAGATTTACGGAGTATAGAACTACGTAGTATTTCTTTAAAACAATCATCACGGATCAGTCTAATGCTTATAACAAGTTATTGCATTACTCTCATTTCCTAGAGGCAACTCAATAAAGTAAAAACCAAACCTAAAAACCAATATTAGTAAGTGAAGCTTCACTCAGGTAATCTGAAATGAGCCTGGTATTGTGATGAAGGTGATGTTAGGTTTTCCAACACACCCATGTGTTTTTTGTTAAGCAATCGCACATTGTTCAAGTATAAAAACATTAGTAACGTATAAGGCAGTGGAACTACGATACGTTTGAACGTTTAGGGTGGGATCCCAAGTCTTAGTATTTCTTAGGTAGTGTTAGATTCCATTTTACTTTCAATTTCTGCCCTTACTCCAAAAAATGTCCATTACGACTTTCTACATTCGTAAAGAATCAAATGAATGGGACACAATGTATGTCCACATTCATTCAATTTTTAATGTACTAAAAAAGTCATAATGCACTGTTATTTAAGAATGGATGGATTATATTATCTGTCCTTGGAACCCAAGAATATTCTCTTTTCACAATTCCAGCCAAACAGAAGAGGATAATCTTACATTCCCATAATCACAATCTGTTGCCCTAACAAACAGAAATGGATACAAATGAAATCTTGAAAGCCAAATTGCAGAAGAAAAAAAAACATACAGTTTCAACTTGACCCTCGGAGACGATTCGAAGCCCGTCTTTGTTCACCAGAAGATCTCCATCCTTGAAGGTTCCAGACTGAGTCCTACACAGCAAGAACAACAAGAAAAATCCATCAATCCCATCAAAGAAACAGTAAAACCTAACCCTAATGCATAAACAGATAGAGAAGAAAACTGGAAAAGAGGGGCATTACAGGAACTTGGAGAGATTGACTTCATCGGGAGGAAGGGAGAGCTTGAGAGTTGAGGCAAAAGCTCCTTTCTTCATCAAAAATCCCTTCTGGCAAATGGGTATTTTGACTATTTTCTACTTGCGCGGAGAAATTCGTGAATCGTTCAGCTCAATTTCTCTCTCTCTGGATTTTCTGGTAGGTAAAAAGTTCGTGTGTCCGAATGGTTGATTGGTGATGGTAGAATGAAACATGCCGACACAGCAGATGAGGAAGCTGTTTTTTGTTGACTAAAATTACCAGCTCCCAATAACACCAAGTTTGACATTATGAATATTATGAATGACAATCATTGTTACTCCGTATTTTTTAGAAGTAAATTACATAAGAAGTCCCCAGTTATAGGTCGTTTTACATATTAAGTCTCTACATATCAAATATTACTAATTTAGTCCCCAATTATTGTATTTATTTCCACGAATGGTCCTTTGTTAACATTTCCGTTAAGAACGTGGACAAAATTGTATATTCATATTCCTCACTCTCTTCAATTAAGTTTCCTCCATTTTCTCATACTCTTTTCTAAACTCGTCGCTGAGGTTGAATCTCTTAAACCAAAAACTTAAATGATCGTTCCTCCAGTTAGACATACAATTGAGAGAAGAGTGATGATTTTAGTTTAGGGTTCAAAGCTAGAAACTCAGCGACGGGTTTGAGAAAGGTGTGCAAGGGAGGAGGGAAGCCTAATTGAGGAGAGAAAGGAGTGTGAATTTATAATTTTGCCCACGTTTTTAACGAAAATGTTAACAAAGGACCATTCGTGGAAATAAATATAATAATTGGGGACTAAATTAGTAATATTTGATATGTAGGGACTAAATATGTAAAACGGCATATAACTGGAGACCTTTTATGGAATTTAATCTTTTTTTAGATACAAATTTACAAACACTTGTCATTGTTAAAATTATTGTTATTCTAACATTTTAACTAATTGGACTTTCACAATGTTCAAAAAAAAAATTTAAAAAGTAAAAGTGTGTGTTGGAATTTATTTAGACAAAAGAAAAATTATGTAAGTTACATGTTAATTGCTCTATATTTTAATACTCCCTCCGTTTCTTAAAACCCTTCCTCTTTCATTTTTTTTGTTTTTCTTAAAACACTTCCCCTTTCTATTAAAAAACCACTTTTACCCCTATTTTTTCATACCCTACCTATCACATCATACTTTTTCACTAACAACTAAACTATCACATCTTACTTTTACCAATCACATCAAGGGCAAAATTGGAAAGTCAACTACAATTTAGCACTTCATTATTTTCCCCCAAAGTCAAAAGAAGAACTCTTTTGAGAAACGGAGGTAGTATGAGATAAAGTAAGTGAAATTTATTTTTTAAACTGTCTAGAAAAAAAGGAGAAATATTTTTCAGAATGAAAGAGTATAATCTTAATTTGACAAATAAAGAATAAAAATTTGTCTCTTGTATGTATGGTGACTTCTTCCTATGCATAATCGATATTCTTTGTTATTGTAAGAAGTCAAATTACCCCAAGAACTTGCCTATTAATGAGCAACCTTGACCTCTGTACTCTGTAGTATGTACACGATAATTTATACCATTATCTTGATCAAGATTCAACGATATTTTTAACAATTATAAACAATTTTTTTATTGTGGTAAGCTGTAACAACATGTTGTTTTCTACAAATATATATTCACTATCTGAAATTAATATTTTAAGATTAGTTATATACGGAGTATATGTGTGTGTGTTATCTTGATTCATTATAATTACTTCTTCCGTCTTAAAACTATCTTCCCAGTTACTATTCACATGGTCAAACTTAAATTACTTTATTTATCTATTTTTGTTAGTTATTTGATGAAATAATATAGTCTTGTCACCTCTTGTTTTGTAGAACTTTTGATGTAGTTTTTAAATATATAATTTTTATTTTTTAATTTTATAACTACAATCAAATAAATTGAATTGAAAATAAAGTCGGCCAGACCTCGTAAACACAAACGTAAAAATGGTTTTAGGATGGGGGGAGTATTATTTAAATAATTAAACTATTTACTCTTTATTAACATAAAGAGTATATGATCATTTATGTCACTTCCTCTTTTTGTATGATATAATTTTTTTATATTAGATTATACACTAACGTTTATTCTGTATTTAAAATTTTTCATACTCCGTAATTCATTTTTTTTTGACAATATAATACATTTTGTTTTAATTGCATTATTTGGACCGAGCAATAAGAGACGACTACAAAAGAAGAGAAGACCCAAAACAGTCATATTCTTCTTCCTTCCTTCCCTCAACACTCCATTTCACTGGAATTATTATAACGCTGACGGCCCCTCCTGATCCGCGAAGCTCATCAAACTCACAATTCCACTACAATTCATTATTATTCTCTCCTACCACACGCAACAAGTAAGGATCTTCAGTTAACCCTAATTTTCGAGAAAAAAAAGGAAGAGAAATCCAACGAGATTTGTGTATTTATATGAATATAAATGTCTTTTCAGTTTTCAATCTTGATAACAAACCCCTTCATGATTCCTATCACCTGAATTTTGGCTGATTCTGTCGGTTAATGTGGGGAGTATTCTTAGCATATGCTTCTTGTATTACGATCAATCATTCATGTGGGTTGCAACAAGATTGGTTTGTGAGCTTGTTCTTGAATTGGGTGTTCTTCATTCACTGCTATTTGACCATTTCTCTTGCTAGTTTCTTTCAATATGAATCTTGTTTAGCTCGAGCTCGGGCGGGTACTTCTTGGTGGTTCTTTTGCACAGACTTTATTAAAGCTTGATATTTCATATTTTCGTCCTAAATGTCAAACTGATTAGTTCAATGCTTTCTTATACTATATCCTTATGGTATTTGTGATTCTGCTAATGTTAGATGGTTTTTGAACCGGGGGCGGGGGGGTCTCTTGGAGTCTTGGAAACCGCCTCTCTATCTTTGAGTAGGGGTAAGGTCTGCGTACACACCCTCCCCGGACTCTACTTTTGATGGGATTTTACTGTGTTTGTTGTTGTTGTTAGATGGTTTAACATGTCCTTGTAAAATGGTGTGCCCATTGGAGCCGGTCAATCTTTAGGTCCTTGAGCTCGTTGTCGGGGCTTACCATGATCATATTTTGCTTTTGAGCTTAGTGAGCTCTTATATGATATTAGAAGTTGGGTTCTATTATAAATGTTCAACATGATACGAGTAATAGTCCAATGCCTTTTATGTTGGTTTATGTTTGTATATTTGGCTGGTGTGGAACTTCTCAAATTTTCAAGAAAAAGGGAATCTTATCTTTAGCAATGGAATCTTTGATTTTTTTGGTTCATGTGATGATAGTTAGGTCTTCTCAGGTCACAAGAGAACATTTGTTATCTTACTAGGATATGGTATTCTTTAAATCCATTTATTAGAATTAATGGAACTTGAAGCATTTAGATGATATTCCTATATGACATTAGTTCAATGCCCTTAAACCGGTCACTATGATGTGCTTTTATCATTTACTAGTATTATTTTGGCCTTAAATATAAGGGTTATATATTTCTCGCATCGATCATATGCTAAGGGTTTTTTTCCTCTTTCTTTTTTCAACATATTGCAGGTTATAGTAGAGGCACAGCAGCTGGGACTGCCTCAGCAAACTGGAAGCCACATCTCCAAAGAATTCTATATGGATCCAAGTAGTTCAATTAATTCTTTGATGCTACATGTCCATCTCATTTCCATACTTGAGCTAACTAAAATACTCCCTCTGTCCCAAATTAATTTGCTTACTTTCACTCCAGGGAGAATAGGGAAAGTGTAGAAAAGATATTGAATAATGAAAAATGAGTGGTTAGATTTAGAAGAGACTAGAGAGAGAAGTATTTTGGACCGCAGATTCTTTTCTAAAAAACAAAAAGAGAAAAAGTGAGAAAATAATTTTGGGATGGATGAAAAAAGGAAAGTGAGAAGACTTTTGTGTGAAAGTACTCAAGAGTTACTAGCAGTCAGTCAGTCTTACATTAGAGAATTCGATAGAAATAAAAATTTTGATATCCATAGTTCACTATCAATTGAAAAGTATATATCTTCCCTGTTTCGATCTTTTCTCATAGAACTGGAAATAACGATGCATATTGAATACGAGTGATAAAAAAAGATCGGGTAGAAAGTGAGTGAAGAAAAGATATACCCCTCTGTTTCTTAAAACAAGTCATGTTCCCACCTGTTCTGTAACATTAGATCGTTTCTTGATAATAGATTCAAACTACATCTTCTGTAAACAGAATCTGCTCTTGAGGAAGGAGAAAGTAAAGATGGTGTTGAATTGGCGAGATCTGACAAGCATTTTGATCTTTTGAGGCCATCTGCTCGGTATTACTCATTGTTTAAAGGTAGTTTCTTGCTTTGGCTGTTAGAATAGATTAGTACCGCTACTATTTACCATTTTACTCCCTCCGTCCCAAAATAAACTTCAAACTTTCTTTTTATATCCATCCCAAAATAAGCTTCACACTTTTCTCACATTGTATAATTGGCTTCATACTCACTGGATACACTGTGAAGCATAGGGCAAGCAGCAAAAGCTGAAGACCATAACAAGGGGAAGTATGCTCCGGTACGAAATCTAGAAGACGGTCAAGCAAGTTTATATGATAAACCTCTTCCTTGCTTTGGTTGTGGGATTGGATGGTTTTCGTAAGAACTTCAAACCCCTCCTTAGTTGGTTCTTCTTTGCTCTAAGCCGAATTCAGTTTCTGACGCTTGATATCTCATTTGGTAGATTTCTTTCTGGCATTTTGTGTCCGTTTATGTGGTACTATGCCACAATACTCTATCTTTGCAACTACTACCGCAAGGATCCGAGAGAACGGGCAGGACTCGCTGCATCTGCAATAGCTGTAAGAATTCAAACTTGTGTTTTATGAATGTTTCAGCTTCGGATAAACAACGAAATGAATCAAAATGGCACACTAGAACTTCCTTTTGGGAGTAAATGCAGCAATATATCAAAGGTCTAAAAATTTCCCAATATAGAAACATGCACATCTCTTTTGGGAGACATCAGACATGGAATAGTTTTCGGTTCAATTCAGTTCGCGACTTCTCAATTACAACTAGAACTAGTTTTCAGTTCAAATGGGTTTGGTTCGGTTCAGTAAAATTTTGATCGATGATAATTTTTCGATCATCACTAATATCTTTCTTCTAATAAATGACAGGCAATGGGGTGTTCTGTTGTGTTGTTGATTGTAATAGTGATTCTCCTACTGTAACTTACTTTATCCATATACCAGCTGCTGCATAGGATTGAAGAACTTCCTCTTACAAGCATCATTTCCAGAGTGTGCTCAAATTGTGTGCCTGAAATACCCCTAT